CCGCTTTGTCCCATCGCGTTGGAGTCTCTGCGGGGGGACTAATTTGCCTTTTTAATTAAAGGCTTTACAAAGCACAGGGCCTTCGTAGGATGCTTCCAAACAGAAACAGCTGAAAATGAAGTTTAAAAACATTTAGTATATTTTTTTAACTGAGAGGCTCTGGGACAGGCTAGCGGTAGGTGGTGGGTGATGCTCTTGGTCTTGTTCTGCTTGTTTCCTTGTCCGCTGTGCTGGGGGCTAGAGAAACTTTTTGTGGTCACTGTGGAAGTTTCTGAGGTCGGCTAATTGTGAGAAAGAATGAATTTTAGGTGGAAAATTTGTGGGCAGAACTGGAGATTCAGTTTGAAAAGTAGGGCTTGTGTTCTTTTTAATGGTAAATATCTGAAAATTTTTACATAAAATGAAGTCACTAAGTTTACAGAAAGCCTCAGTTAGAGTATTCCCCCTTCCTTCAGGGGAAGGGTCTATATGGCTGTATGCAAAGCCTTGATTTCAAATTTCTAACTTCCTTTTCTCTTTGGAGATGACTTGTCTTGATGTTATTCAGTCTTAAATTTCAGCATGTCAGTTATTAAAATTTATTTTGGACAGTTTATTTTTTTTTGGAGAGCTTTTCATCTTAAAACGTCACCGACAAGCTTGAAGAAATTTGAGACTGACTTGATAGAAGTCAGTAATGAGATCATCAAACTGTTTTCTCCATCTGGATAAATAGGTTGATGGGTGACTTCTGTAATTGTGCATGATTCATCCCTCTTTCAAAAGAGAAACTCTTTCTCTTCTGGTGCTCTTACTGTGGCACTTTTGCTTTGCTTTTTTGCTAATTAAATTGCATATTGGGGTAGAGGAGATGCTATCAGGAAATTATTTTTTGAGAGTTGGGTCATAAAATGAATAATTGTGTTTTTTCCAAGGTTCTAATTTTTTTTTTTTACAGTTCTGTTGTGTATGTTAAGCCTAGGGCTGGGAAATGTTGCAGCTACCTTGTGTATTAAATCAGTTATAATATTTGTGGAAATAAGTCCAATTGCAGCAGTGCTCCGTGAGTAGAGGGGACAGCTCTATGTGAAAGAAATGCAGTCTTTAGAAGGAAAAAGTGCTTTGGTTAGAGCATGGGAAGGAAGGAGACTTGTGGAACGAGGAGTCTTACTTTCAACAGTAGGGTATTAGTGGTGGGGATGTGGAGTGGCAGGTGAGGAGGAAGGAGGAGAGTTTGAAACAGCTGAAGACAATTTGTGTTATGTCAAAAAGAGGAGAAGGGAGGGAAGGAAGACCTCTGAGGCACTCCATAGAAACCACAGGGAATTCTTTGTCTCCTAACTAAGGATTTGGTGACTAAACTGTAAATGTAAATCTAGTGGCCCTAATCCCTTAATACCTCTTTGGGGAATGGTTTTGGTAATATTACTGACTTGCAGAGCAGCATATGTAAAGCCTGTCAGCATCACAGTTTATGTAAAATTATGCGCACGGTGACACTTGTCAAACCTGTTTCTCTTCCAGGTATTTGCCAGATATTTTAAGAAAACATGTGTAGAGATAGCACTGTGAATATGTTATAGTCAAAGGTCGATGTCACCAGTGGCTCATGGGTAACATGTGCCCAAAAGATCCTCTAACGCTTCTACTGCAGAGGTTCTCAAACTATGGCCTGAAGGAAAATGGCAGATAAAAAGGCTGTGTGAGCGTCTCCATGTCTCTGTATATCCACAGCTGAGAGCTACGATTGCTTCTAACAGCAGTGGCAATGCTAGGGCAGCAAACTAGATTTGGGAACCTTGTGCTAAAGTTTACAAACTTCTTGATTAATTATTTGACATAGATTTCATATTGTTTTGCAATAAAGATACTCTCTGTCTCTGTAGAAATATTTGCAAAGAAAGCGTTTGCTCAGATCTACTGCAATACCTGTCATGCAGAAATTCACCTGTAACTGCAAAGTGGCTATTGTATAAAAGTCTCAGTGTCAGATTGCATATTTAAAAAATAAAAAAATGCTGCTGTTTTACTGAGGTGAGTTGCTGTAGTAGTGATTATTCTGAGAATTTACTCAAGATTCCAAGGGGGTAGCTGTGCTTTTTTTTTTTTTTTTTTTAGCTCTCCCCTTAGCTCTGCTGGTGTCAAATCACTAGCACAAATTTGTCCATCTGTTCTAGCTTCATTTTGCTGGCATTTCAAATACATATTTCCTTATTTTAAGGATTAGTTTTTGGAATCATAGGACTGGGTTCTGAAGTCCTTGGCTTTCTTAAACGGTGAAGAGGTAACCGTACTACGGCAGAGTTTGTGCTAGTGGGCAACGTGTATCTGTGCAGGTTTTGGCTGGGATAGTTTATTTTTTTCATGGTCGCTAGTATGAGGCTGTATTTTGGATACGTGCTGAGAACAATGTTGATAACACACTGATGTTTCAGTCATTGCCAAGCAATGCTTACATTAAGTCAAGGACTTTTTCAGCTGCTCATATTGCCCCTGCCCTCCCAGCTGCTTCTCCACAAGAAACTGGGAGGGGAGCCAGCCAGGATAGCTGACCCAAACTGCCCGAACGGATATTCCATACCATAAAACGTCATGCTCAGTGTATAAGCTGGGGGAGCTGGCCGGTGGAATGGTTGCTGCTAGGGGACTGACTGGACATGGGTTAGTGGGTGGTGAGCAGTTGCATCACTCATTTTTCTGGTGTTTTGTTTTTGCTGTTTTCCTTTTTTGCTACATTATTATAATAATTATATTTTATTTCAATCATTAAACTGTCCTTCTCTCAACCCATGAGTTTTTGTACCTTTTTCCTCTGATTGTCTCCCCATCCCACTGAGAGAGGGAGGGAGGGGAAGTGAGCAAGCGGCTGTGTGGTGGCTGGTTGCTGGCTGGGGTTAAACCCCGACAGTATCCTATATGATATTAATTTGTTCTGGCAGCCTCAGATAATTTGGAAGCAATTTTGGATTGAGATTAGGTTTCCTTATCTTTCACATTTTGGCCAAAGGTAACTTAATAAACAAGATAATAATCACTTATATTTCTGCCTCACTGGACCAGTGCTTTGTTTTAGTAAGTCTTACTATTTCATGCCAGAATTAAAAAGATTTGAGCCCTAGTTGGGATTGAGGATCAGTTTACTGTTGGGATTACTATGAACTGGTCACTTTTTCATTCCCTGGGTAAAAATTTATTTATAAGTGAATGGAGAGAAATTCTGCCATCCTAAGGTTCAAAGCCAGTTGATTCCAATTACTTACTAATGGAAAGTTGCTACACTTTTGTTTCAGGAACCTAGACCCAGATGACCAAACTAGTGCTGTTTGTGGGTTCTTTTGCACCTTTGGAATTGCTTTAGGGCCTTTTGATGAGCTGGTGACTGCACTGTGTTGTGTGCAGGGAAGACTTGCCAATGTAGTGCTTTCATAAAGCAAGTGAAACCTCTTTGAAACTGATAATTTGAGCTTAAAACTGATCATACAAAGGTGGTAGCCAATCTGTTCTTGTTGATGAGAACATGAAAAGGAAGCGAATTTATTAGAGATGAACTTTCTTATTAACATTAGGATGTTAATGCTGGATGCCTTGAGTGACAGACATTGAGAGTTATGCTTATGAGCAGCAGCGGAAATAATTGTAAATCAGTTTCTTAAATAATCCTGCTCTAATAGTAAGTTATTAAAATTGTTTTTCTGCTGTAGGATTTTGGTGGCTTTTTTAGCAGTTATTTAGTGCCTCTATTTTTGAGAACTCCCCTCTCGTTAAATGTTTCCAAAGTAAAAATAAGTTTGATCACATCAAGGCTGATCAGCTAGCTTACAAGATGGTCTGTGAAACAGAAGACTATTTTAAAATAATATATAGGTAGATAACTAGGCAATGACTTTATGGGATATTTTGATTCCTTTAGATATTGGAACAAATCTGTGAATCTTGTTAGATGTTAGATTGCTCCTAAGTGCTCAATGCTTCACTTCTAGCTGTGAATTCCTGTAGAAGATTGATAGCTCTGCCAACATTTATCCACAACAGAAGATGGGTGGATTAATTTCAAGATGGAGGGTAAGTAAAATCATGTTAACAGTATAATAATCCTTAGTCTGGAAGATGGGAGTATGCAGGACATGTTTCTTAATTCCTGTTGGTTGACTGTTAATGCTGGTTGAATGTTAGTAGTAGACTTTTTCCATTAATATGTCACTTAAAAGTCCAGTAGTGAGACATAATGACCAAAAAGATTCTCTGCCAAATCCCTAAAGTGAGGACAGCTGCACAGGTTCATTGTTTCCTTTGCAGTACTAGGCCTGACACTGGCTTGGTTAACTTACAAAAATACAATTTTAACTCTTTCTGTAAATCTAAATAGTTTTGTGGTACTTCATTGGGATAGGTAGCAGCATCCGTGACTTGAAAGATTGGTGGCTATTTTAGGTCAAAATGGATACATCCAGAATAGAATTCTTTTTGTTTTAACAAATATTTTGGTAGCTACTTATACAAGTCTGTCTTCCTAACTGTTTTAATTGGCTTGTATATTATTGAATGGTGCACTAAGTATATGAGGAAGGTGCATGAGGTTTTTGACTGCTCTCCTGGCAGATGCAAGTTGTTCGAGCCTAAGTTTGCCTTTGCATATTACCAATTGATTTCAGAGTCTCCCATGCAAAACTCCTTTAAGGGCAAAAGCTTAGGTGAAATGTCAGTTTGATGTAACAGAAAGAAACTCACTTTCATGGTGATGCAGCGTGGGCTATGGTGTTTGAATTTGTGGCCTGAAGGGTCGGGGAAGATAGTGGCTTTATACTTCTCAGAAATTAGGAAGGATTCCTGGAAGGTGGATGCCAAGTTGCTCCTAATAGGAATTTTACTGGGGGTGATAACACTTATTTGCAGTTGCTTATAATTGATTTAGAGCATGTGTGTTTGTGTGGAATGAATAGTAATAAAAAAACTTAAGTTCTCAGCTTAGGGCTTCCTATATATATATTCTCTTTGTTTTACCTATTCCCTCTACTCGTCAATTCTCTCCTTGTTTTACTTCCCACTCACACATATATCATTGCTGTACATGCATTATAGCTTTTCATCTTTGGTGTTGCAGGAGAGGAGTCTCCAGTTAATACCAACTGTAAAATAATGATTCATTGCAGTCCCTTCTTTTTGTCACTATTAAAGTAGGAAAATGTCTTACCTTTATGTAAAGTAGATAATATATTGATCTATGATGAATGCCTTTTTGTTAGGAAACTGTTAATGTACATTAATCCTCAAAATATAGACTTTTAAAAAAATGAGATTAACATCTTTGTTCTTTCCCTTGTAAGCAGGCAAAGCCTTCCACTGTAGAAGTATTAGAAAAAATTGATAAGGTATGCGTTTGCTTTTTTGGTGTGTGTGTTTTTTTTTTTTTTTAAATAAATAAGCATCGTTTTTGCTAGCTATGTATTTCTTTCACATTAGGTAAAATACAGTCATGGAATTTAAAATTATTTTGATAACTCTTCCAGCTGGATGTACTGTGGAGATTGAGTTTCAGATGAGCTGCTACTTTTCTTCTTACTATTAGTAATTTTAAAAACCCCATACAGTATAATAGATAGTGAGAAACTACAGTTTAAATATTTATTTAGAGAGTCTGAAATGGGAATGAATGTGAAGTTGGCTTGACTACACAATTTAATTATAACTAATGGTTAAACTCCCCTGTAATGGAAAATGTCACCAACGTGAAATTTCATTCATCAGACTCATTAGAAAAACTTCAATGTATGGTTTTAAAGTGTAGGAGTTGTAACTGGAGTGGTAGTAAGTAAGGTCAGGGGCAGAATAACTGAATGGATGGTTCAATAATCAATTGTGATTTTTTTTTTTAGCTAGCATTTGTGACAGATGCCTATACTCTGTGGGAAAATTAACTATGTTAAAATATGCTGTTGGTATTTTTTGTTTTCCTTTTAATGAAGCATGAGTGCTCCTCTTGTCACTTGAAATGCAGTCAAAATCGTAACATAGAGCATTGCTTGATCACTTATCAATATGCTAAAAGCATAATTCAGATGTTGAGGATTTCACTCTTAATGTGAGGAAAATACTGAAATGAGAACATGTGAAATGACGGAGAGAGGCTTCGGCAATTTCCTACGTTAGTAGAAAAGTATTAGAAGCATTTGAAATTCCACAGGTGCCTGATGAAAGTTTTAGGATGCAAAGTATGGTTGGTAGTGATTTATGTGGTCGTAAAGGCTGCTGCTCATAAGGTATTAGCATTTTTCACTTGTCTCAAATGTGCTAACACATTACAAATAGGAAAAAGTGCTGAGTTGTAATATTTCTTTCCAATAGTGATGTGTTACTGCTAATACAGTGCAAGTGACCCATATCATAACCTTAATAGTGTGATGTATTTATGCTGTGAAAGTTATCTTTGGGCAAATATTGTAATTTATCAAAAAGCTGCTTGACTTTTTTAATCAATTATCAAATTGATATGCCTAATTTTTGCAAGCACTTAAAGGCAGCTTAGTAAAACCACCTACTAATTTAACTAATAAGTTTGAATCCTATTTATTTACAGGAAATACAGACATTAGAAGAATTTAGAGAAAAAAATCAGAGGCTACAGAAACTGTGGGTTGGAGGGCTGCTTCTCTACTCTTCACTTCTTTACCTTATCACCTGCTTAATTGTATATTTGTGGTGTCTTCCCGATGAATGGACAGCAAGGTTGATTATGACACTTCCACTTTTTGCATTTCCTTTGATGTAAGTAAATGCGTGCTTATTTTTTTCCTAACTGCTGTCTCTGGTAAAAGGAGATGGAAAATACATCTCAGCAGGGGTTTGGGTTTGCTTTTGACACTCCTTGAGTTGTCATAACTTGCTGAATTTTTTCTCTTAAAATAAATTCAAGTAGTTAGGCAGACACTTTCTTTGAGGGAAGTGTGTCTCATGGGTCTGGGTTTACCGTAGAACTAAGTCTTACCATCAAAAGGTGTTAGCGTCTAAAGTTACTTGGCTTATCAAAATTATAGTAGGGCTAGAGAGAGATCTGTGTCTGAACAGCTGCAAGGTGATGTAATACAAGCAGAAGAGCATTATTTTGGGTTTTATTTCTACTGCTGTTTGGAAGAGTAGCACTACTATATGAAAGTGACCTGAGGTATTTTGCCTCTATGTAAAATGCAGCATATAAAATTGGGAAAAAAATGCAGGAATTAATGCAGAAACTTTTATATATTAGGTGACTGTTAACACAGAAGTGTCTTGAAAGGTCATCTGCCTGAATATGTTGAGGACTAGTTTTACATATTTGTCTGTTGTTTTTTGAAAATAATTGACTGTTTTCTTCAACCAGAAAATATCCTAACATCATTGGATGTGAACAGGAGGAAGTATTGTCTACTTTTTTGGTTTCCCTGAGAGTAGTTGGCCGCTCGTCCTCAAGAGTGACTTTTGTTTTCTAAGAAAACTACTTTTCTAAGAATAACAAAATGGGCTTCCACCTTACTAAACAGCTGCTTCCTTGCTGCCTCCCCTTCCCCCAGACCGTTAAGGTGAAGCAACCTACTGAGCATCTTTCCTACCCATGGGGAGCACAGTGCATTTACTAACTTGCTGAAATGAACGTCGTAAATACTGTGTGTATTTGTACAGCATCTTTGTATGAAAACATGACTTGTTAGTGCCCTAGCTTTAGACTTGAAAGGCAGAGCCAAATGTACATACCTAAGGCTTTGCAAGTTTGATTAGCGTGGGTCAGCATAATGTAACGTGCAAAAAAAAAATACTGGAAGATGCTTTTTGTATTTCATACCATGTTATGCTTAAATGTACACATATGCTGCTGTTGGGGAATCCTGTGGAGAAGATACATGGGCAGCAATATCTTGAATGGAAGGGATTAATATAGAAATTAAAGCTCAAATTAATCTTTGGCAGCAGTATGAATTGATTTTGTTCTCAAGGACAAAAATTTCAAAGTCTTTGTTAGCATGTGAGGCTTGCTCATGCCAACAGGGAAGGCTTGTAGAAGAGGAGGTATTTCCAGCCTCCTTTCACTTAGGTGTGGTAGGATTAGTGTAGAAACAAAAACTTTTACTTGAAGGTGATGGCTTCTGGCACTGTGGTGTGAATTTTCACATTGGATTTTTGTTTTCTAGTTTGTTCCCCAATTCTTCTTAGTTTTGTTTTTTTTTAAAGGTGGGTTTCTATAAAATTCTGAATTGGATATCAGCTTACTAACACTTAGAATAATAGACTGTTGTTCTCCTATGACTTGCAACTGTTTATCTGATTTTTCTCTTAAGCTATTCCCCTTCAGCTTTTTTTTTTGTCAGATATGAGTGGCAAGCAACTGCCAGCTTGTCTTTGTTCTCGGTCAAGAGGTGACTCTGTGCTGAATGCCTGGTGCCACCCAGTAATAGCTCTAGAGATTTTTCATCCCTAATCAAACTGGAATATGTCTGTGTTTTCCAGCTTGCAGTCAGTCACCAACTTATTTCTGCTGTACGTGATTCCCTCAGGGTCTCAGCAAGTTACTGATGCTGGTAGAGCAAGTTAAGTTCTAGGAATATATAACACTAATTTTAAATGTATATTAATATCTGAAAAATTGAAGAAATATATAATCATGTTAGAAGGATGCTGCTCTTGAAATTATTTTCATTTGAATGCGATTCTGTGTCATCGTGTGTGTTCTCATTTTCAGAGAAATGTTTTTTTTAAATTGTCTGAAATGGTCTGCTATGAACTTTCACCTCAAAGTTCTTAAAGAGGAAATGTTTTTATTTCATGAAGTCCTACCATATATCCATTAGCTTAGAATAAAGCTTTAGGTAGAAGGCTATTGAGCATACAGTAAAAAAATAAGTAATGCTTTTGCCTGTGCAACATAGTCTTTAAGGCAATTCAAACCTTGTAAAACACGTATTTCTTTTGATACTTTATGAAGGGACACATCTTGCATTGTGTAAGCGGGCAAAGCTGTCTGTATTCTTAGGGTAGCCATTAGAGCACACCTTTGAATGTGGAATAGAGTTAAACTTTCTCTGTTTCTCTGACCTTGGATATGTTACTTTTGGATTCCAGTTGTCTAGTCTAACTTAACTAGTGCAGGTTGTGTTGTTAGTACTTCAAAGCATTTTGAACTGGGCAGACACTGGGTAAAGGCAAAAGATGTTCTTATGAATCAAGTCAAAACTCTTATTTGAAATCTTATGGCCTTTTGCCTGCTTTCTTACGCTAGCTGATATTCAGAGAACCTTTCTAGTTTTTTAGAAATTTTTTTCTTAAATGAAACTTGGCTACTTTAGACTTTATTATGTAGTGCTTGGCACTAGGAGGGTTTTGGATAGGATACTGAAGGGCTTGAAGTATGAGATTTGCTGCTTGGCTTAGGCGAAATAACTTGCCAGGAAAAGTGTCAACTTAATTATAAGCAATTCTAAGCTTTGAAACAAATGAATTTCTGATGATTGCAGAGAGACCTTTCAAATGTATAATGGTGATAGGTCAGCTTAACTTTATCTTGAGCACAGATAAACTCCTCCATTGTTTGAGCTAAGTCAGCTGAAACACTAGGGAGACTGAGTGGATTTGGAGCTCTAAAATCACCAGGAGTCAGGTCAGTTAACTCTGCTTGGGAGAGCATTTGTACAATAGCTATATCTCATTGTTTTAATTGGTATTGAATTCTTCCCACAAGTCTTCTGGGTCTTAGTTCTAGGCCTTAGCTGGTAAGCTTGGTTTTCTGGATAAGATGCATCAAAAATCTAAGAAGTGACGACTAAGTCAATTTTCAGCTAGTTGCACATACCTTGATTTTAAAAAGTTCCCACTGAACATTTTAGTAAGCGATGATGTTACTTGCTGCTGCTCCTCCCTTAGTATTTCTACTTGTACTAATACTTGGTTAAATTTTAATAGACAGGAGGATTTTAGTTAGATCAATGTTGATGTCTTGTTGACAAGATAGTAATTTAATTTTTAGTTTTTTGTTCTTTGTATTTGCAAAGTTAAATCTCATGTGATAAGTCTTCTGTTTGCTAAGTGACTTCAGAAATGGTTACTGTAATGTATTTAATTAATGATTCTTCTTTCTGTTTTAAAGAATCTGGTTTATCAGAACACTGCTCATTTTTTTCTTTTCCAAAAGGACAGAAAGGAATAGTAAGTATTTTTTGTGTCTTTTTCTAGAATATGGAACTAGTTGGGAATGGTGCTTGCTATGAAAATGTAAATATTTTGGATAATTTGGCTTTTGGGAAAAGAAGAGTAGCCTTTTGGTTAATGCTGAAATGGGTAGCATTAGGTAAACTGTTGTTTCTACTACATGGTTATTGAAAGAACAGGAAGGAAACTACATAATTTTTCACTTCACTTACAAAATTGTAGTAACTTTCTCATGTCTTTGCATACCTCAAAGTGTAATGGAATAAAATGTAGTGTAGGAGTGGGGGAAAAGAAATATAACCAATAGTAGTAGTTTCGTTAATCCTTGCATCTTGCAAGTATTCCAGCAGTCTTATCTCTTATCTTTATGTATAAGAGAAGAGATTTATAGCAGATGTGTTTAATTTATTTGTCAAGGTAGCTTTTCTCTCCCAAGTTCTCCAAAGGATGCTTATATTTTCCTGAGTGAAAAAGGGATAAGCAGGTGTTTTTGTGCTGTTTTGAGAGCTAAGGAAAATTGGGAGTCATGTAACAAAAACAAAGTAATGCAGATGTTCAAATATATAAAAAGTTGTTAAATAACATGCAGATTCATTCTAATGCAAAATTTAAAAACAGTATCTGTGGCACTTGTTTCCAGTAGTTAGAATTCATTTGAGACTCTTTGAAAGCAGTCCAGCCTGTAACAATAGCTCATGGTAATGTGAGCAATAATACAGGAAAGCCTCAATGTTGCACTATGTTTTATGACTTGCAGAACAACATGATGTATTTAATTTGTGACAGCTTAAGAGTTAAACATCACTTCTGGAATTTTTCTTAAGCCTGATGTCTCTATTTGATATGCAAGCATAGGACATACATTTTTATGTAGAAATAAAATTGTCCATATAGTCTGTGGTGCTGTGATTCATTTCTAAGGTGAATATATATTTGCAATTCATGTCTGGATAAGAAAAAAAAAGTGTGTATGTTTTTCCAGTTTGCTTAAATGTCTTTATTGCTGTTTTTAGCATACAAGCAGGTCTAGTGCTTTTGTTGAACCTGTGTATAAAGAGTTTTGGTAGATGTTAGAACATGCCAGAAAGAACTATTTCTGCGTTGTTCCAGAGACTGGGTGAAAATGAAGTGTTTTACCTCAAAGATACAAGTTCTGTATTTGAAAAAGAGAAATCAAATGTGCAGTGTGAGAGTTACAGCAGTAAAGCAGGAGAATACGTAACTGAGAGAGCAAAGTGGCAACTGAGTGGCTCAAAGCCAGCCTTTTATGCTGGGAGAAGTTAAGATAACATGTTGAGTCACTGGTGATGATTATTTAATACTACAAAGCTCTATGCTGGATAACCAGCATACACTTAGTTTTGGGAACCATGCTTTGGGGAAAATTGCTAGTGAGACACTGGGAAAGGTGACGTAGAGAGATTATGGAATTTCAGTTTTTACGACTGGTCAGGCAAACAGCTGTTGAGGAAGATTTAGGCTGATCTGTCCCAAGGTGTGGGGAAAGTAGATGTGGTATCTTGCAGGTGTTGACTTCTCTAGTATGAATTATTTTTTTCTGTAGGTTTAATTAAGATGAGATATATTGGTTTCTTGAGAGTAGTTTGCAGTAATTGCCATTTGGCCACGTTTGAAGGGGCAGGTGTTTCAGGAGGTTCTTGCTGAACACAGGAGGTAAAATGATCAAAAACAAATGCCCACACTTTAAACGGATTTCATTGCTTTTGTGAGAGATTGCTTGAAGATGTCCTAGGCATTTCTGTACCAAAAGCAGCTTCTGTTTCTTAAGTAGCTGTTAACAGCTGGCCATATTGTGCTATTTGTTTGGCTGCATGATACTTTACTGCACTGCAGTGCATTTCAAGATATTAATCTGTGTGGGGCTTCATGAAAGGCTGTGTTCTAATAAAATTTGGTGGAAGGTGGTACCTTATTAATTTGAAGATACAATTCCCAGAGTTGTCTGTCTTCTGTGGTCCAGCCCAGTGCTAAATATCGTTTTGTTCCTTGCCCCGTTTGCCTTAATTAATAAGGGATTGTTGTAAATACCCTTTCATTGCATAAACTTTCAAATATGTACATGACCAGTTTTAGTCTTTTATACATTTAATAAAGTGGTTTATTCAATCAAAATGGGTTCTTACATTCTGGAAAAGCTCAAGTAATTATGTGTTCCCTTAATTTCAGGTAACAGTAGTGTTCCTGAAGTAACTTTATAAAGTGTGTGTAGCGTACTTATGTATAAATACAGGTACGAAAAGTATATATTTAGTTTGGGTTTTGGTTTTGTTTCTTGTCGTTCTATGAAGCTTTTTCTGTTTTTGAAAACTGAAAAATGGCTAAAAATAGCTATATCTTGTAGGAAGCGAACTGCTGATGTCCAGTAGAGCTGAGAACAGGAAGAGGTTGTAAAGTTTTATGTTAAACTCTTCTTGCTGTGAAGGAGGTAGTAGGAAACAGATTTATCAAGGGAATATCTTCTGTATTAGGTGCTAGTTTGTTACAGTGCATTTTCCATGAGTGCAAGCTGCAAGCATTGACTTAAAGGAAAATCCCATGTGCATTTGACCTTTCTTCTTTCCCTTCCTTTTAGAGAGGTTAGGTGCTGTGCCTACTAGCTGTAACAGTGTCTCTTAAAAATGACCTTCTGGTAGCTTTTCTGACAAAACTGGAGTTTTACTGTAGTCTGAAAATATTGAAAGGGTGAAAGAGATTGAGATTCGAAGCTCAGAATTGACCTGGCATTTGAAACTAGCATTTGTTAAGAGGCTTATGTGAAATACTGAAGCTAGTAAATCTGGTACTCAAATAGATATGTTAATACTTAGGCTTCAAGCTTTTTTCTGTAGTTTGACTCATGAGATTAAGTGTATTTGGTCCATTGTTGTACCAGTTTTAATGTAGGTCAAAGCAGGGCACTAGCCAGAATTGGTTTGCTTAATGAGGAAATGGTACATAAAACTTTTTAATATTAGAACTGTAAAGTGATAACAGTGGGCTATAATTTATAAGCAGTTTCAGGATTTAAAGTGATTTATTTTCACATAAAAACTTTAGTTATTTTACTCAAGATTTACTAATGTTGTAGGGTTGGTAGTGGTTAGTGCATAATTTTTCCTGATCTCACAGGGTGAAGTCAATGTTTAGAGTGTGCTGAAATTATCTCTGATTTATTTTTGAAAACTAATGTATGATGTCCTTCTTTTAGATGATGCACTGGAAGATTTAAAGTCTCAAAAGAAAAAAATAGTAAGTAAAACTTCAAGAAAAGCCAGTTGTTATGGTCCACTAAAGTGTTTTTTCATCTCTACAAGTCTGATTGTACGTGAAACTATTACTGTTCCTCTCTTCATACATTTTCTAGTCCCATACAAGGTTTTCCTTACACCCAACTTGCAACAGGCTTCTTGCATATGAGAATAAAGTGTCTCCTTGTAGTCTGACCTAAACCTACTGTTTTAGTGTTGCTAGATCTATGTACAGTGATTCTGTTTTGTCAGAAAATGAAAATGTTTTAACCTACTCATTGCTGACTACTACTTTTACTTTTAAAACTTTTCAAAAGTTTTAGATGCTGCACCAATTTAAGACCATAGAGTGGACCTATATCTTCAATAGCTACTCTGTCACTTAATGTCTTGTTCATAAATAGCAAAAATAACTTCCATCTTGTCTGGATTCACTTTTTTATCAAGTAACAGATTATTGTTTATATCTTAAATGCATTACCACTTATTTCCCCTCCTCCATCTTATTTTTGTACTACATATTTCTTCCATTACATTTTTTCCCTCTAAAAAATTTATCTTAGCTTGTCCTGTATCAATCCCATCAGTTTTCTTGAGGTTGTCTGTTTTGTGAGCTCTGTGGATGACAATATAAAACTGGTCTATGTCAGGTATTTGCTTCACCTAGATCCACACTTAATCTCAGTATAACAAATTTAGGATGGAAAAGATTTCAAGTCTTGGCTACCTTGTGCTCATTGTGAAGTTTGTAACACTGAAAGCCGTTTCCTCTCTAATTAATCATTCCATAAGGAAGTTCTCTGTTTACTTATGTTGCTGGCTTCATCTCCTGCCTTGCAAGGCAAAACTTAAATCCACCACCAGTGAAGCACAAAAAGCCCCCAAACAACCAAAAGCCAACACCACCCCCTGCAACAGCCTGCCTGAAAACTCCAGAAGTTGTGTTATGAAGCTTTATTGTTAATGAGTTTCCCAACATGTTCACCTTGTGCCTTCTGGATTTTTTTCATGCTGGCTAAATTAATAGAAAACCCACCCCAAAGCTGCCAAAAAGGAATCGGTAAGAGTCTGATGTTATATGGCCTTTACAGGGGAAACGGGTTTCACTGATCTTTCACTCTTTTTTTATCACTTTTAAAATGTAGATTTAAAAATTATAACCTGTGACCTAATTATGTTGTTGTCCTTTGGTAAAGAGTATTTAATATTTTTATCTGCTAATCTTTATAGGAAGGAATCTATTAAATAGAAGCATCCTTTGTTTGGAGGGGTGATATAAAAAGGGTTTGGAGAGGTTTACATTTTCTAAAATGAAATAAATTAGTATGATAACTTTTAAATTTTATTTTATGAAAACTGCTTGGCTGAAATTAGTTAATCTCTCCAATTTATGTAGTCATTAAGTAGCTTTGGAGGGAAAGTTCTTGGAACAGAAAAAGCACAATGAAGAACAAAACAGCTCTTGGAGTCTTAAATGTAAAGCCTTCATTTCAGTTAAGTTTATTTTTCTGTAATCATGAAAATCTTCACGTTTATTCTAGAAGAACTACTAATGCTGAATTTTTGGGTGTGAGAAGCACTCTTTTAGAGAAAAGGCATTGAATAAAAGATTAGTCATGAAAAAGCCGGTTTATAAAGGGGAGAGTTTTTTACTTTGGAAATTGATGCTGTTGAAACAAGATGTAAATATGTATTTTGCATATGCAAAAAACCAAAACAATGTATTGTAAAAGAGCAGGCAGTAGTTAAAGATTAAAACAACCGCACAAATACTTTGTGAACAATATAGAAATTAGTGTAACTATGAAGAGTTTAAATATGGAAAGATAAATTGCCATTAGTATACATGCATGTCAAGTTTGCATTGTAGTTTATATGCATTATAGAAAAACTTCTAAATAGGGTTAGTAAAACAAAGTTCTGAGAAGTCCAATAACCTATAACTCAGCTATTTTTCAATCTGAGGGGAATGAAAAAAATCCATGGTTACCTCCTTATCTTGTGGGTGCCTGGTTCCTAGCAAGGAACCAGAAACAAAGACTTATTGCAACCTCTTGAATCAACATGGTGTTGGTATTTTTTACTCAGAAGACTGACTCAGGATTTTAATCATAATTTAAAGGTATTCAATTAAGCATTAAAATTAGATCATCATATATGAAACCTAGCATGTTGAAATGAGCTGAAAGTTGATGCAGGTAATAAGACAGAATATAATTTGTATTTTAGATAAAATCACTTTCATTGCAGCTCAGCTGCCTGATCACTGGTGAAATTTTGTATTGAAGACAATTGTTCTTTCGAAAAATTTTGCAGTACTTGAGTTTTACAGGCATGTGGTCTCCCTTTTCCCTAATGACATTACTTACGTGCTGAGGGTACCTATAAGGGAGTAAGCTCTTCATCTACTAGGTATAGTGCTGTGGTTGCTGTGCAATGAGCTGCTGAACAGAACTTCAGTTCTGTTCAAAAGGCTTCAGTCTTTGGTGGCATAATCACATGGATATTCGTGTGGGTAAAATACCTGACAAGCACAGATACAGATACTTCATCTGGAAATATCCATTAATATTGCCTGTCCTGTACTTCAACTCAAGGTTTGTGTAATACTTATTTTCCACAGAAGTGACTCTCTGCACTACTTTTTTCCTAGTGAATGTTTTAAAACGTGTTCAGTGTTTCTTTATGGATTGGGGGTAGGGATTAAGTTCATTAGCTATAATTAAAGCACTACTTCAAGATACAGCTTTTTTTCCTCCTTGGTCATAAGGGATACTCTGTTTGTGTTTGTGGATGTATAGCCTTAGCGTTCTCAGTTAATGAGGATGTCAGCCCTTAAGCCTGAATGTGTATAGATGAGCAAGTTCAGAGGGTTAAGCATATTAAAGCAAGGGCACAGGACATGTATTAAGCTGCTACAAGTGGAGAATTAGTGGAGACTTTACCTGGAGCAGCAGTCTTAAAGATGGGATAACTCTTAGCCTGAGGACAGAGTTGTGAAGATAGTATACTAATTGTGTTGCTAATGTTAGAATTCAACTTTGCTGAAGTTTGCTCAGCTGTTCTGTTATAGTAGGCTGAGTATAATATTAGACTTGGACAGACCTAGCCATTTCGGGTAAGAATTTAGAAAGTTGCATTTGTTAGTTTTCCAAGGAAAAAAATGTGTGATTTCAAGGCTGTCTTGGAGTTATGTAAATAGCAGAAAAAAAATGCAGTGTATGAATTTTGTTATTTAAAATAATTACTGTTAATGAACTTCATACCTTCAGCCTTCCAGCCATAAAAAACTGTACTTATTTGGATAACCTTCAGAATGTGAAAGAAACTCTAGTTGGTTGTTGTATAAGCCCGGTCTTGTCTACGCACTATTTACTAGAGTACTGCAGGCGTGCAATTGGAAGCTCAAAATAAAGTGAAAAAAATCTGATGAATGATCAAATGAGGTATTTCTCTCATGCAGTGTTCACACAAAACAGTTACTTTTAGTTGTTTTACTGTTTGCATGGATCTGTCCAGAGTACACTCGATTATTGTGGTTTAAATTATTTCTTATCTATTTTAAGGAAGCTTTTGCTATGCATACTGGCGTATCTTACATGGTAGGCTGAAATGAATCTTGTGGCTTTGTGTGAACAGGAAGAAATTTCTCTCCATAGTTGGGTTTGACATATCAAGTAATTCAAGAACTCATGTGGTAGTGTGGCAAATAAGTAGCTTGCACTGTGCCAATACTTAAGACTTCGAGTTGCTAAACCGCACTTAAAAGAAGCTTAAATTACATTACTCATGTTACTTTTAAGTATGGGCAACTGATGTCCATGCCACAGGAATTCTGTTTGGTTGCCAGTTGGAAAGGAGGCTGTCCATCCAATTATTCATAGGAGAGAATGTGGTACGTGACCATGCTGCTTTATTAAGATGTGGTTAAGTCCATGAAATAAGTTTGAAAAATCCATGATTAGGTTGGTATTAACTTTTGCAAAGACTTCAGTTGTGATCCTGGTTACTCAGCATTTAAGCTTGATAATAGTAGACCATGAATTAGCTCTTGGAAGAAAGTAGAAACTCTGGGAAATGTTTTGGATCTCAGAGAAGAGTGTATTATGGAAAAGAGCAGGAGGTGTTGAGCAGTTTGGGGAGCTGGTGCTCAGCACTAGGTTAACCTTTCCAAGGTTATGCTTCAAGATGGCAAATAATCCAGAAGTCAGTATGTTGATTTGCGTTTATAAACGAACCTGCTGTGGCAGTGCACAAGCCAGTTTATTCTGCTATGCAAACATAGAGGTAGTGTTTGAATTTTACACAGGCCCTTATTTGCTTCTGGTAATTATACTAATTTGCCCAAAGAGTAAGTAAACTTTGATCTGTGTGATCTCTTGGTTGGCATTGTCAACCAAATTTTAGTTGATTTTTAGAAAATCATATCCTAGAAGTGAAACCATGAGAGCTGTGAGTGTGCTTATAGAAATCTTGACAATTTCTGTGCATTTTCAATAAATTTGTAAAGAGTCAGTTGTGAAACTGAATTCTTGTTCAGATTTAGCTTTATGAGAATTATAAAGCTATATATGAATTTCACAATATGAAGAGTAGCTTGTTGAAAGTATATAATGTGAAGAATAACTTTCACATCTGAATGTTGTGACAAAAGCTAGATTTTTCTATTTCAAAATAATGTTACTGTTTCTGAAAAACTTATGTCCACAAATAACTACCATGCTATCTAGTACTGCTATAGCAAGAAGTGTGTTAAATAAGGAAAGTGTCAAGTGATGGTGGAGCATTCTGTTTTTTCTCTTCCTAAAGGTCGCTTTGTCCTGTAGAAGGTTATTTCTCATTTTCCTGTGTGGTCGTAAAGACAAATGCATGCATTATATGTTCATTGATGTGAAGTGACTTGGATTTTTTTTTATTTTGATTGGGGACCAGATATTGACACTTGCTGTTAATACTTCCTCACTTTGCAGCTTTACCTCGCTAACCTTACCCCTTCATAGAAATGTTTGCCTTATGGTTTTCACTTTTATAAGTAACAAATAACTTTATTTTTCCTATTAGATTCTTAGTTCTGATCTTACTGCACTGTGTGGCATTTGTTTTACAAAGCTGGTAGGTTAACTCCAAAGTCCTGCTGAAAGGAAATTGATTTTTACTTCCCTCTTCACTCCCTTTTGTTTCAACAGTCCTTAATTAACAGCCTGGATAGTATTCCTTGCCTTAAACTTCTGGTAGTGTGTGTAAGCGTGAGTGTTAAATGGATGCTGTGTATCCATTAAATTGGGTGAATTTTACTTAGCTTCTGAGGTCTGTCTAAAGGTAAAACCCCTGCAAGGTCTGTATATGCAGCATGGCTGAAACTTTAGTTTCTCACTAGCAAATAATGGCATAAAAGTCATGTTAACCTGCACCGTTTGTTATTTTAGCAGTGATAAATGAGTTTGAGAGAACTTAATTTTTTGACCACTGACCTTTTCAGTTTTGCAGTTTATGCCAGCAGGAAACAAACAAACCCCCCACTTTTAGCTGACCATGCCCATTAGCATATCTAGGAGAAAAGGTCTGCTTGAGATATTGTAAAATGTATTGTAATTTCTATCCGTATTAGCCATTTGTTATAACTTCAGCTATCTCTGTTTTAAAGTTAAGCTGCTTCTGATGTTGGCTGTTAGCCACTAAAATGATACTTTACTAGTGATTACTTTTTTAATTAAGCCCATGTATTAGCTATAAAGCCACTTGAGTGCATTGTAAATAAAACGCTGTAATAATGAAGTGCTTTAATTACACTCTCTAAAGTATGCATAGTTCTCAGTAAATTTTTTATTTAAATTCATAACGTGTTCCTTTTTTTCTGAAAAGCAGTTTGAATTGCTGTAAAGATGGTGATCCAGCCTTTAAAGTCATTTGAGCAAATTCCATGGCTGTTCTCTAGTTAGTGAGTTTTCACAGCATTTGCAGCAAGCTAATTGCTTCTGTTAATAAATAATCTAAAATCGATGCTGACAGCAGTTAATTGGCACAGAGACTTTATTCTGTAAAGCACTTGGCTAACGACCCTCCTTAAATTAATAGCAGTAAGTGCTATGAGGAAATAAATCTAAGGAATTGCCTGTCATTTGCCTGTCATGTCTAATAACTTCCAATAATGATGGCTGATAGATTTTTGCACATTCCATTATTGAAGTTGGTGCATGTAATTATTCTCCTCATTATATGTAAACAATTAGCAATATTTGGTGTTTTCTTACAATAAAGCTGTTAAATACAAGTAGCCCATTAGAGTTTAGAAACTATTTCTGAAAGCAAAATTTCATTTCCATTGAATACAGCAAATCTGCGGGTCTGAACATGCTACTTGTTCATTGAAATTAGCTTCACCTTTTGGTGACATTAATAAGTTGCTTGTAAATGGGAGGATAAGGGGGGGAGGAATACTTTAAAGAATTGTAGTGATGTGTGGAACCTTGTGTTTCCAGCTTGAGGAAGTAATGGAGAAGGAAACATACAAGACTGCTAAATTAATTCTTGAAAGGTTTGATCCAGAATCAAGTGCAAAGGTAAGAATGTTGGTATTGATACGGATTTAATATGAAGGGTGCCATGGAGCCAAACATTCAGATAATGTTATTTATAATTAATTGGCAGGAGGCTGAACTGCAGTCTGCTGGAACATCTGCAGCCCCAAGACCTGGACAAGGTAATAGTCCTGTAAACCAGCTGCTCTTTAGCATAGATACTCATCTTTCATAGCAGTTGCCACTCTAGAAGTCTCTCTATGATAAAATCTGTAGATCAGTTGACCTTTATGTAGGGTTAATAGACTGTTTATTAGACTATGCCCATTACTGTTCTGTATTTTTCAGACAAGGGATCTGTTGCTAAAGGCCAGTGCCCTTCTAGACAGTAGGATATTTAATGCAATGCTGCTTGATGCTAAAGCAGAGAGAAAATTAACTTCTTGTGGCATACTTCCAATTTTTCTATAATTCTAAGGTGCTTTGAAATCTTACGTAATGTTCATTGACTTAGCTTTCCAATTCTGTTTCTGGCTAATTAGACCTTTTCTAATGCAGAGCTTAAACTACTTTTATGCGGTAGATGGAGAAATTCCACAAAGCTAGTGCAGAAGTCAGATATTTTCTAGATGCAAAGAATGGACAGTTCTTTACTAGCTTATGATGTTCCATTTAAAGGTGCAGTTGAATAAAATAATAAAAAACAGAAAAATACTTACATGTGTTTCAAAGAAGCCTTTTTTCTAGATTGCACACACAGGTTTCAAGACTGAAAAGATCTCTTCCCCACCCTCTTCCAGTAGAATGTTTGCATTAAAAATGTGGACTATAAATTTTTTAAAAATTATGCAAACAAACTACTGATAAGTTTTTCCTAAAGTTGAGTATAATATGCTGTAGTTAAACTGGAGACGCTAGTTTTAACGTAGTAAGAAGACCACCTTGTATTATAATACTGAAGATACCTACAAAGATATGTCTCAAAGTATGAGTTCTAATTTGCAGTTAAAACTAATTTAGACCTGTAGGGGCTGGTGCTCAAAATAAACTGCAGACTCTGATGTGTGTAATTTTGCACAAAATAAATTGGTTGCTTTAGACCATGTATTAGAATTGTCGGCTTTGGTTACTCTCAAGAGTTAGACACAAACTTCTATTTGTCTCATTTTTTTTGCTCTTGGAATGCTGGTTTTGATGTGTGCAGAGCCCCTGGGTTTACTAACAAAGGTGTTTATAAGCTGCATGGTGAAATCCACTGTTTTGTTCTTCTTGCCTTCAAATTGTCATGGAAACATTTTTAGCCCATCCTTACTTGTTGACATTGACAGTGAGTAGTTGCAGTGTAGTATGTTAGCAGTAAAGCTTTCATCTCTTCTGGTGTCATGGGCACAACAGCTTTTTCTCAAGTTTGCTCCTTACCTGTTTCTCCCACCATGCCATTTCTGTGGCATTCATAGTTTTTTAAGGCTGAAGGGCTGTTCTGACACCCTCTTCTGTCTTAGTACAGCTCATGGGTGGGTGCCAAGAATTTTCTGTCATACATGTAATGTTCAGGTAGTCTGTTTTTCTTTTAACTGTCTCTATTCTTCCTTTTCCTTTGAGATGTTAAAAATCACTCCAGAGATAAGGTGACAGATATGCATACATGTGATGTTCAGGTAGTCTGTTTTTCTTTTAAAACTGTCTCTATTCTTCCTTTTCCTTTGAGATGTTAAAAATCACTCCAGAGATAAGGTGACAGATATGTTTGTAGAATGCAAGTAATGCTGACCAGGGGATGAAATGGTCTGGAAACGTGTGTTTCTATGTAGAGGTCTAGAGATAACTAGATAAAATTAAATAGACAGTAAGAAGTCTTTAGTCACCCTGGCTTTATTAAAAGATACCACCAGCATTTTTGAAACCCTTAAGGAGTTATACGATTGTCTTCCCTTCTGCCCAGACCAAGTAAGTAGTGATGGTGATAAGTGAGTTGCTCAATCTCTACTAGTTAACTAGTCTTGTGTGTGTTTGGGCTTACAAAGCACAGTTTGTGTGCTTTTCATCCAGGATTCTGAGTTAGTCAAAAGCAGGTTAGTTGGATTCAGCATATGATGTGTTTGTTGATTTTAACTTGACTGTTAAGGGCTATGATGGAGAGGTTCTGAGAGAGTTAGAAGTATTTCTGAGAGCCAGCCACTATAGATGGTGGTCTACGGTAATAACCGTATAATAGGAGGAGATTTGTAGAGTGAAACAGTTGTTGCTGAGGGGTTTTGCCCACACTGTATATGTTTAGGGCTTTTTATTTAGGTCTAGCTGTAAACTGGTCTCACGGACCTGGTGGAGGGCATCTTTCAGTTTAGTTTCATTTGAGAAGAATGTAAGTGCTGCCGCCTGAGAATGTGGTGTGAGCCAGAGACCTCCAAGTGGGGACAGAATTGAGAAAATGTAAAGTACACTTCTGATTCAAGCATTATTCAACTTCTTTGAGTGCATCCACATTAAAGTAAGGAATTTACTTTATCCTGAATAAAAGTGCAGTTTAGCCTTGGAAAGGATTTTGGAAAATAAATTTTGTAAGTTGTCATGGCTTATAATTGGATTCAGTGATCTTAATGGCCTTTTCCAACCTAAATGATCCTGTGGTTCTATATAATTTTGTTCATATGCAGCGCAACTTCCTTTCTTCTCTTTTTCCAGTCTGTTCTCTAACACATTGAATTTAGAGGTGGTGTTGCTTTTTGTCCATGTAAAAGTGTATATTCAAACTATTGTATTTTGTAGCTGTGTTATAGTTCAGGAGGGACACACTGTGTTTGGCTTTACCTTGTGAAATTGTGGGGACTTACTTTCTAAATAACCTCTTCTTGGTATGTGCAGTAATTATTTGGTTTTAGCTATCAAAAAACTACTAGCTTATTGGTGTTCACACTAAATATCTGCCCAAAATAAACATTAGCTTCTGTTCTGTGCAGTATGTAACTTACTGTAGCTAAATGACACTTTAATGTGGTTGTGGTGTAATTTGGTGTATGCAGTATGTGGTAGAATTATAGTGATTGAGAATAATAAAATATCTGTTAACAAGTTATAATTAAAGCTTCCTTGATTTTCTCTTTGCTGACTTTGGACACAAAGTAGCCAGGCAGCAGAATGCATTATCTTGAGCTCTGTAACTCAGCCTTTTTGAAAAGAGGGTAAAAAATTTGTGTAATCACATTGGACAATGTTGTGTATGAGGCAGCTGATGAAAGATTAGTTAGTTTGTATGTTTTTGACTTACCAGTTGAAATGGAAGCTTGCACATCATATAATTAGTACAAAGATGTAATCAGCATTACATAATAGTTGATTCTCAGAAAAACAATTTGTAGTGCCCCAATTTTCAGCTGTATTTAGCTCCTTTTGCAGTTTTTGTGATTTTTTTGACATAAGCTTAAATAATTGTAGTTTTAAGAGATGATTCAGATTAATCTTGAGTTTGGCATAAGAAAGTACCTGGAAATCCAGAAGGGAAGGAATTTGAAAACTTAAGTGCAATTTCATCTGTTCAGAAATGTTTTGAGGGGTGGAATTAATGAGCATATTGTTATTTGTACTTTGGCTGTATGAAAAAAAACAGTAATTATATATTGTCAGTGGAATAAATATTCGTCAACAGTATCCTGTTGTTGATACCTGCTCCCTTCGTTGTACTAATATGACTCTTATCAGAGCCGTATTATAAATGAGATCACTCCATGATCCGAATTAAAATTGTAATAACAGGTGCTTGCAAGCTGTGGGATGGGTACAGGCATGGGGAGGAAGAATGAAAATTCTTAGTTGGTCTTTGCCACTAAAGCCAACAAGTTACATGAACTGTGTGTTGACCTGCGTTGTGTTTTAGCCCTTTAAAAATTATGTATTATTCTCTACAAAAATCAAGGAGTTTTGAAGGGAGAAATAAAATAGTTATGCTTGTAAACATGAAAAATACATCTGTATTGTCACTGGCGATATCTTAATATTCTTTAAGAAATTATACTGAATCATCAGTTCTGAGTAGCAGCCCTGTTAAGTAATGCATCTGCTGCATCTGATGTATTCGTATTGTTCAGTGCTGGTAACTGCAGATTTTGGACTCCAGTGTGCTTGAAGAATAAAAGTTCTATTTTTTGTTACTTACCTGTCTTCATACAGTTGGTTTACAGATGCACAAAAATCATTGAGTGAAGAAAAGAACCTTGGAAAATTTCAAAACTTCATTAAAACTCTATCAGCAGTAGCTGTATATTGTGCTAGCATTGAGACCCAATGGACATGTTACACCTAACTTGTGGAACTTGAGTTGTGGAAATCTGGAACTTCGCAAGGGGCTCATTATCAACACATTGCGTCGCAACGTAAGGAAATTTGAGGAGTGTATAGATCATATCCATTTACTGCAGAAGAATATAGCAGGTTTACAAAGAATTAGAGGAGTTCATGGGCAACAGGGTCCTTATGTGATACTAAAGTGATCAGACAGCACTGTACTCTAATGTCCCTGATGATGCATTTATTGATTCTGGAGCTGGTATCAGAGATGTAGGCAACAGAAATCATTCAGGTTTGTGTGCTGTCATTGAGTAACATCTATGACAACTCTAAGAGATGAGATACTGGGATGAATGGGCTATTGGTCTTTCCCAGCAGAGCATTTCTCATTTTCTCATAATGTAAGTTCTTCTGGTAACTTCTCTTACTTGGGGAGCAGCAGTACATTGACAAGTTCTCTTAAGTATGAAATAAGAATAGAGTGAAAGCCGGATTAACTTCTAAGTAGAGGCAGGGAGAGGAAAGCCTTGTGAATAATCTGATATCATTTTGTGGAAAGTAGCAATGAGTCTTGCGTTTTTTACCTCTGTAATGACACTAAAACTACTGAAGCACATAGCTCTAGTATTGACTGTAATACTAGGTTTAGCATTATTGAAGGAGCAAAACTATGGGGAAACTCATTAAAGTAGGAGTAACTTTTTAAAAATTAAAAGTCTTTTTTGAAGGAGGCTTGTCAAAAATTACCTTTCAGAAAGAACAGGGAAAAGGGGCAAAGCTATTGCAGGTGGCATGGAAACTAGGAATAGTGTATTGTGGGCTCAGAATAAACGTGGATGTATCCATGACCCGTGGAAATACTCAGAGCTGTTAAGCAACCAAAATTGTCGTGCTTAAACCACATGATACAGAAAGACAGCCTTCAAAATGTAGAAGCAACATCCATGTATGGAACTTACAGTTGTGATATTTGACATTTTTATATGTAAAACCATAATAAAGCAGGCTTTGTAATGAAAAAGAATGAAGAAAACCGTAGCAGTAGATTAAAGTGTCTTTTTGTACATATTTAAAATGGATCGAGTTAGGCTTTGCATTTATCACTCATTTTTTTTAAAGATCTGTGGAGCTGAGTAGAGTTGAGAAATTGCATACCTTTAGCTTGATTTTTTTTTAACTAGTACATGAGTGCAAACTATGACACAAATTTGAACATACGGATAAATAAATCCTGGGGCAGAATCATATTGTTTGTAGATGAGTCATGGCTGTTGGTCAGACAGCATGGAGAGGATGATACGATTAGTATAGTTAGACTTGAAAGCTTACTACTGAGATCTCTCACAGTGAGCTCTCAATGAAATGTCACTGGTGAGGTTTATCATAAATGAATTCTTGATTAAAATAAAACTTTCAACCCTGGAGCAGTTTTCAAAATAGAAACAAGTCACCAAGGAAACATTAAAGGAATTTCTGCAACTGCCTCAACAATTTATCCTGGTTTCCAGATTCTGAACAGTTTAAATAGTGAGGGAGCAGACTTTACTTGCTAAAACTAATTTAAAATACAGAATCTTTGTACTCGTTGGGTGGTCTAACTTCGATGATAAGGTTGTGTGAAGTAATGCAGTCATGCACATTATGGTGTGATGGGGAAAAGCAGTAATTTGTTCTGCTCTGTAAGAAACTAAACTAGGTGGATTTTTAGTAAGACTTTGTGCAGTTTTAGTCTTCTAACTGATGATACCAAAGAGTCTTTTATTCTTTCTTCTTTAATCCTATTTATGTGTACAGATAAGTAGGCAAGAACATAGCATATGTATGTTGCAATTTTGTGGCACTAGATGTTGGTGATTTTCCAACCGAACTTTTATGTTTGACCTAGGACTCCAGTGATAAGAGTTTAGATTACCTAAGAAAGAGTCACACACTCACTGCCTCCTCCAGCCCATAAAGAAGCTTAGGTTGGTAGTATTGTATTTTCAGGGACAGGGATCATTCAGCACACCCATCTCCCCATGGCCTGTTGCCAGTGGACCTGTAGACTGCCTGCTAAGGATTTAATCTCTTCCAGCCTGACACAAAGTCAGCAGATAATCTAATCTTGAAACTCAGGGAGATGAATTTAAAGTCCAGTTCTAGTGTTAAATTCCATGTGTTACAAAGGAAGACAAGCAAGCTTGTTCAAACTAATGTGGATGCTAGACACTAACTCTGTGGGGTACTATAGCCTTAGTTGCAGGCATTCTTGGGATGTACCTTTTGGAGACTTAGCTGTCACTTGTCAATATCCACAGCCCTGAAGTGAGGGTTATGTTTTAATTTGATTTGTTCCAGTAGTGTATTTCAAAGGCTCCCTAGAGGTGATGAGGTATAGATGGGGTGAGAAATAGATTATGGTGACTGCTGTTCAGGCGCACTGTTCTGGCTTGTTTTGGGGAGCCAACTCACTTATAAATATAATGGAACTTCAGGTTTGCACTAACACTATAATATCCAAACCTTAATATATTACTGGTATGACATTCCCATTGGTGTTAATGAGAACTCTGGCTTCAGGTAAGAACTGAGGAAACCTATTAAGTTTTTCATAATAGCAATTTAATAGTAACTTTGATAGTGGAGTGAGAAGAGGTAAAAGTAAGGCCATGATTCAGTGTTCCAGAAAAGCCCGTTCTGAATATGTGGCTTGTTGGTAGCACTGCTGAAAAAAGTGAATGAAACCATATGATCTGAATGAAGCATTACATTTTCTTCTGGCTTTAGAATTGTTCCATTTATTCAATCTGAATTTTTTTTAATAACTCTGAGCACTTATCCTAGATATTTTAGACATTGAATGAATAGTTTTTGGTCCCATGGAAAGCTAAATATTTAGAAGCATGCTTAAATCATAGAGTAGAAACAGTGGTCAGTTGTGTCTGTACGTTGTGGTTTACATCTAGCTGTTCATATCTCCAACATTCTGCCTTGGAGAACAGAATCATAAGGTAGGTATCTGCTAATTTTCTTCTAGAAGAATTTTGCCCTACGTATTTAACAGTTAATGGTTATTCCTATTAAAATACAGTATTCTGTGTGGGGTTTATTCTGTGGCACGCTCAGCTAGGCAGCTTTTGAACTTTAGTTATAGAGGTTTCTGGTTTGTTTGACTTTAATTTGCTGATTGGAATAAGATATGAATGTACTTTCACTACTGTTGTGCTTATAATGCTAGATGTTAAAATTCAGTGTGCACATGTTCTTGTCAGAAATTCGTCAGAGGACCGTAGCTCAAAAAAGTGCTTCTACGCCTCCGCCTGCAACTCCTAAACAAGGCTCTCCAAAGTCGCTGGTTTCGGCATCTCCTAATCTGCAGAGAGACACATCAACTCTGAGTGGACCCCTAGAAAGAGCTGTTGTGCCATCCTCACAGTCAAATATTTTACCAAGAAGCCCTGGATCCCCTGCTACTTCAGTGCCTGGAATGGGTAAACAGAGCACTTAACATGTTATTTACAGTTTATATTGTTTTCTCTGGTTACCAGTAAAATAGGCAATTTTCAGACGGTATGGAAATGGCATTTCATTTGGAAATAGCAGAGCAGTTATCTGATTAAGCAGGAGTTCCATATTCAATTAGCCATAACTCTTTACAGCTGCCACCTTTTGATGCTGAAACCTATTGCCTGAGCTCATTTAACTGTTATGGCATCTTTGTTTAAATGGCAATAAAACTTTGCAGTATTCTGTAGTCAACAATATAGCATACCTTTTTATGTCCTTAGTTTAGAAGAGCTCTACACTTATATAAATCAGGTACAGAGGAGAACACTTTCAGAATACATTCATGTTCCTCACTAAACCCTGCACATATTTTTTAACATGCTTCTTGACATTTATTTAAATTTTTACTCTAGGAGGTATAGTCATGCAATCTATACTCATAGATTAGAGCATAAAATACCAAATACACCAGAGAAGTTGTCTGTGGTGTAGCTGAATTCTTCTAAAACTGCACTGCTATTTTGGTACAAGAGTCAAAAATTTAGCACTATGTTGAAATCCGGTAGAAATTAGTGCTCCTTAAAATTTGGTTTCATATCCTGAAAATGCTTTTTCCTTTATTTCTGGCTTGGTGTTCAATAGAAAATGAACTAAGTTCCATAGGAGGGATAGCAAAATTTGAGAGTTTTGTGGAGGAGTTGTTCTCATTCTCCTCATGGATGGTAAAGCTGTGTATGGTTTAGTGCCAGGCCTTTAACTTGTTGCAGGATGTCTGGCAAGTTGGATCACAGGGCAAGGAAGGAGGTGAAATGCTGCCTTGAAAATCAAGGGATGCAACTTGACAAGAATCTTCTGAGCACCACTGTAATGTGGAGTAGTTCTTTGCTCTTTATACAGTGATCTAGAATATTTTTCTCTGTGCTGTGTTCCTGATTTTTAACTTTAAGTTACTTAAGTCTTACAAACTGTTATGTCCTTGCTTATGAACTTCCATGATACAGTCTAAAAGTCTGACTACACATAATATATTGACACCTGGTCTCTTAGTGGAAGATCTTGGGCAGCTGAATGTTAAAATGCCTGTTCTTTTTGTTTAGTGTAGTGGAATAAACTTGTCATGAAAAGTTGTGATCCCTCAGTTCACTTCTCTGCAGAGTCCGTTAGGCCTTATTTTTGTTAGTAATTGTTTACCTGTATTATAAAACTGCTGGATTTGTTTTTATTCCTGAAGTGAATTGTAAAGGCAAGTTATTAGTAAGTCTTGATTATCTTGAAGTACCAGAAGACAGCTCCTTGCACCAGGAAATTGGTTATTTGGTTACAAACCACGTTTACTGAAACGTGTTTCTGAAAATTCCTTAGTGAGTTTAAAATTGCAGGCTCCTCCTTGTTTAAGAAGCTGGCTATATAATAAAATAATATCAGTTAATATAATGGTTTTATTCTTAAGGGAAGATTCAGACACATTGAATAAGCTGGATGAAATTCAGCCTTTACTGTAGAAATGGTTTAGAGGAAAAAGGAAAAAAAAATAATGGACTATTTTGAAGGGACAGTTGGCAAGTCTGTTAAAATATTTAATGTAGTTTTTTGGTAGTGCTTCATAGGCATATTTATTTTCACTAGTATCTAGTATTTTGACCAAACATATTACTTTCTTGTAGATAGCAATGGAAATCACTGCAATTGGCAGTTAATGGGGAAGCCCTGTTTTCTCTTCAATTTCCTCAAACCTTCCAGGCATATAAAATCTCAATCATGTAGCTGTAGTGAAAAGTATGTAAATTCAGTATCTAGAAGAGTAATACCATTGCGTATAAGTTTATGCATGGCTTGCAACAAATGTGAATAGCCTTAATTATCTCTACTTTAGAGAAGATTAATAATTCATTTTCATTATACTATATTTTGTAGAGGAGAATCAATTTAACGTGTATTACCACAGAGCTCCCATATGTTTGAAAATTAATAACCAGCAGGTAGTTGAGAGTTTGCCAAGCTTTGGAGAGATGATCAGTCTTTCTACAATGATTGCATTTGATGTTTATATTAATTACAGGTGTCCATAACAGCATGAGAATTGAGATGTTTGGTTTCATTATTAGTGGGCAGGTAATTGAAGTTGTTCTTGGAGCATGTTGTGATGTTTCATTCTAGGTAACTTTATTTAATTTCTGCCTTGTTTATTAACTTCTAGAAACTTTTCATATATTGGTGATATATAGGTCATGTGAAAATTTGATCTTTTGAATATAGGACTGAATACATGTTTGAGTGTTAGCCAGGTATTCACAGAATTATTCTAGAGTTTTAATTTAATTGCAGATTATATCGGTGCTCCAGATCTTTACTTCACACATATGTCAGACGTTGTCCATTCACTTTTTTTAATGGAGGTATTGGGTCCTTCAGGTTTCTGTGAAGCTTTAGGAAATGCATTCTGCCTGAATTATTTTCTGGACATTTTTTTCAGAATCTATAAAATGAACCATTAGGTCCAGTTCATGTTGCACTGAATTTGTTTTGCCTTGCTGCTGTGAAGGTTTTCTTAGTCTGAATTCCTGCTTGTTGACAGAATAGGGGACTAACTTGGGAAGGCATTCACTGATTGATTCAGTTCTCTTGTTTGTGAAAACAAGGGTTGTTTTAAAAACATTTGTGTTGAGCGTGAAACTTTTTTGTGCTTGTGAAAGGGTTGTAAATGGCAGTATTTTCTGATCAAATTTTATTGTGCTTGTAAAGATTAGGACAGTCCATTTAGGGCAATTATCCAGTATTGATGAGAGGTGTTTTGAGAGGCTGTGCTGTTGGAAATATTGCAACCTTAATGGCAAGATCAGTCTCATTCTGTGTGTAGCCTTTCAAGAGGGCACTGCTGAAAATGTTTGATTCCTACAATGTTTCTGATGTTTGCCATAGAGGACGGAGGTTATCTTTACATGGCATTCAGCTTGAGGTTTACCACAAGGTAGCATGTTCTGCCCTGAGTTACTTTTTTTCCTTTGTTGCTCCAGTCTGTGAGGGTTAAAAGGTAGAAGGTTTGAGATGGTAGTTGCTGGCAGTTACATTTATTGCTGTGTTTAAACTCAAAGCCTGTCTTAGATCAGTTTATCAAACATTAAGACTTGCTGTATTGTCTTTGCCTGTGTATACTCTACTTAAGAGGCACATGTTACTTCAGTGTGTGTGTGTGTTTATGAAAAAGTGTTACTTGTGTTGGAAGCTCTGACTGTGTGTGTCCTGGTGCTGGCCCCAGCTAAGGTGCTACTAGAAAGCTAAATCTGTCTTCAGATGGGCTTGAAGTCCACATTTTTTTCCATGGTATCTTTCAATTAAACATCCTTCTGAATTAGTTCAACTTGCTAATAAACTCTACTCTCCTGATAATTCTTTATTTGGATTTTTTTAGAATCCTTTTTGCGTCTTCAGACAGTGGGTTTAGTTTGTTTTACCTTTCAGCTTTTTCTTTGTTTATTGGGCATTATGGGGGACTCTGTGAAACACATCTTCCCAAGAAAAATACTGGAAGTATCCAGCAAATTAAAAAGTGAATTGAAGGCTGAATCTGTGGTCACTAAAAGCCTTTCTTTTAAGCTGTGCCTCTTATGTATCTGTTTTTACTGGCTATAGCGAGAATAGCTACAAGCCAGAACTCTTTGCTCAGAAAATACTGGTCACTTTTTGCACCTTGAGAATTTTACTTCTGTGAATTAAATATGTGTAGCTCTTGCATGGCTTCAGATTACCATATGCTCATCTCAGTACAAAACTTGCTAATATTAGCTGAATGTTACCTCTCTGACCTTCTTAAACTATCTTGAGCTTGAATAGGATTTTTGTGTTATTAGAAGTAATTTTGTTGTTGGGTTAAACTGAGTCTCATCTGTCAGGTTTCATAATTTTGTCTTCAGGTGGCTTGAGGCTGACCATTTTGTCCCAGTTTCAGAGTTCTGAAGGGACTGGTTTGTGTCCTACTTAAGCATCCTGTTTTGTGGCCTTTGAATGTAATTCGTAAAGGTCTTATGGAAATACATTTTAAGTCTCCCCACCCCAAATGCTCAATTAAGTGTAAATCTTGCATTTAAGACTGTCTGTCTGGTATCTGTTGAGAATACTGTAACTTAATACCTCCTGTGCTTGTGTAAAAATGTGGCTTGGCCTGGCGCATGGCCTGGTGCTGGCCTTGGGAAGTAGTTTCAGATACTGAGCTATTTGAATTATTGCATCTGAATGATTCAGACTTCATTTCTTACCACATCGTATTTTGCTCATTATGCCTAGCATCTTCTGTTTTAAGGCAGGAAAGGAAGGTAGATGTAAGAACTCAAAGCTGCCAATTTAATTTATGCAGCTTGCAGAGGTTTTGTACAATAGAGTAGATGTTCTAAAAATTTGTGGAAAGACAAGTTTGTGACACTGGTCTACTTTAACTGCCATATGTAAGCAGTTGTGAAAAAGGTGGTACTATTGCTGTTTCCTGTTCTTAATGGAGTTTTGGTAGTAGTTTGTTAAATAGATGGGATATGAAAAATGATATCTTAATAGTGGTCTTCTGGGTTCTTTGACTAAGCATAAATCTGAAATTATCCAGATTTCTATTAAACATGGGATTACCAAAATGCCAAATGGCTAGGCAAGTTTAATGTATAGACTGAATGCACACTGAAGGCATGCTCATATGGTATAGTAATTGCATAGAAACCATTGTATGCTTCTTTGGTAACATCTTTAGTTCTTCTACTGTTGTAATTGATTTTACCAGATTTATTGGTGTAAATTTGAAGTGTTGAGTATACAGAGTTGAGAGTATGTGAAGAAAATTCAAATAAGTAATTTTTCTTTGCTTAAAAAACCTCTGTGAGTAATCATTAAATACCATTGATGCCTTAAGTTCTTTAGAAATTATACATTTAATTACATATCCAAGGTGTAAAAGTAGAGTGATTTAAGCTGAAGAAGCAGAAGAGAAACTCTCAACTATTGTGCATTTAAAATTCATACAGCTGTCCTAGTGGACTAAGAAATATGGCCATGTATATTAAGTAGGTGCAGTTATTTTATTGCACTAGCACGCACAGTGGAATATCAGATTATATATAATAATATAGTTGAAAATAATTTTGACATAGCTCATGTCTTCCTAGGTCTTCATCCTCCAGGCCCTCCTTTAGCAAGACCTATTCTTCCTCGAGAAAGAGGAGTTGTGGATAGAGTGATTGAATATTTGGTTGGCGATGGTCCTCAGAACAGGTAAAATGTTGCTAAAGGAAATACCTAAACACTTAGAGAAAGCTTCTTAACCTTTTGTTTAAGCCAGACACATCAAGGTTAAAAGAACTGCAAAGTAATTTGTTTTAAATTTTCATAATGAAATGACCTTTCTCAGTGCTTCACCTGAAATCTCTTTGTAGTAAAAATGGTAACATTTTGACAAAATTAACCTCCACTTTGGGTGATATTAACAATGTGATACAAAGCAGAAAAATCTATCCTCAAGTGGGTGAATGAATTGTATTTTGAACTTTAAAAAAAATTATCTTAGTACTTCAGCTTTATTACCATTGTGAATGCTTTTAGATTGCCTTCAGAACTGTCCAAACATTATCAGAACTTCCATGTTAACCATGGTTACTTTTCATATTGGCATATAAATGTAATTTGCATGTTATTTTTTGACAATTATGATACTAAAAATATGTTGAACCATGAGGTTTAAATTATAGCTAAGAATATTTCACTATTTTTAAGCCAACTTTAAAAAGTGTTATTTAATATTCAGATTTAGAGGATTTGCTTTAAAGGATAATAATTTACTGTGGAAATTACCTTTTAAGAGTAGCTATCTAAGCTATTAGTCAATTCCTAAGGTAAAATGTCTCATTTCAGTGTGTTATTACTTAAAGGTATGTAATTATATATTGTTCATGTTTTCTAGATATGCCCTTATATGTCAGCAATGTTTTTCTCACAATGGTATGGCTCTGAAGGAGGAGTTTGAATACGTAGGTAAGAGCTACTGTGGCAGACCCTCTAATAGTTGTTTTACATTTCATAAGTAACATGCATCATACTTCATTTTGGTTGCAGTTAAGCACTTAACTGGCACTGTGAAATGCCACTTCATACTGGAACAGTTTTATGGTAACTTATTACTCTGTATCTTAAGATTCACTTCAAGACTTACAGAAGTACTTTATTGCAACCTTCAGGCAAAGGGTTTTATGTGTAGAAAACTATTCATCAGAAATAAGCCTCCTCAAGTACATCCCCAAGAATTGCTACTGGCTATGAATGGTTCTCAGAAGGGTTTTATATTGAGAAACTGACTGACATTAAAGTGTACCTCTTTTACCAGAACTTAAACAAATTTTGCTCTGGCAAGAAGACCTTGGGGAGGTATCGGAAAAGGAGTGGGAAGAAGCCCTAGGGTACTATATGTGAATTTATGGCTGACAATAACTTAAGACAGACACAGCTCTTTATTGAACACAGATGGTTTATTTTGCCTGCCTTCTACCACAAGTGTAAGCCTGATGCTTAAGAAATGAGGGAATCTTAGATAAATCTTCTATTTCATTTTGTTTCACTTAATTTTACGAGTAAATATACAGCATTGTAAGATTAAGTTGAACACTTCCTGTGGAACTAAAGATATGTATTCTGTATGTCATCTTAGCTCAAGTGAGTTCACAATTCAACTGTGCAAGAAATTGCCACTTTTCCGCTTGTCTTGAGGGGGGGTAATATGCATTTAACTATTAAGTGGTACCCAGTACTTCTCCAGAATAAAACAGCGTTTTCTTAATTAAGGACCACTGGAACAGAATGCTCCTCAAAAAGCAGAGTGAGACATACCTTGCAGAATCCATAGCATCCCCTTACTCGAAGGGTGAGGAAAGTGGGATCTTAAGTTGGCAGATTACTTTTTTTCCCCTTAATTCTTTTGTTAAGAAAGAATAGAACACCATGTGGCAACATCTTGTGGTACTGAATTGCATTATTTTGTTCATTGTGGTCAAATCTTTCACGGTGGTGGGCAGTACTCCTAAGTGCAGCAGAGCTGAAAGCAAACAGGTTTTTAAGAAGCAAAAGTATGCTGAAGTTAAAAATGGGGCTATATGGAACAGCTTGTGTAAATTTGATGGAGGTTTTTTCAGGTACTCGGAGTCACTTAATTCTCTTCTCCGTTTTTAGTATTTTGGGCGGTCAGAGTATAGTGCAGGAAAAAAGGTGAAATGTGAAATTAGTTAGTGAGGCTACTTATTGGGTGTGCTTTTGTGTAGCATTCAGGTGTGCCTACTGCTTTTTCCTGAATCCTGCAAGGAAAACTAGACCGCAGGCTCCCCGACTTCCAGACTTCAGTTTTGAAAAAAAGCAATCTACCGAATTGCAATCTGAAACTGAGCATCTAGAACCTAGAGAGAGAAAGCCCCAGGAGACTCAACAGACAGAAGGTATGTGCTAATATCTTAGTCTGCTCTTTTTTTTTTAATGTCTAATGTAATCCCCCCTGTCATCTATCTCTCTCTAGATTATTTTTTAATAAGAATTAAGAACAACTGAAGAACTCAAAACACTGGAACAGGCTTCCTAGAGATGTGGTTGATGGCCCAAGCCTGTCAGTGTTTAAGAGGCATTTGGACAATGCCTTTAATAACATGCTTTAACTTTTGGTCAGCCTTGAGTTGGTCAGGCAGTTGGTTTAGATGATTGCTGTTAGTCCCTTCCAACTGAAACAGTCTATTCTATTTTAACATCATAGTGGGTGCAGTTTATTTTTCATTCATGTCCCTGCTTCTAGCTTAGTTTGGTGATACTATTGCCTTCTGTCCTGTACCCTAAAATTTCTTCATATTAAGCAGTATGTCTCATGCAAATGATGGCAGAACAAAATTTTTCACTCTGATGTTACTGATAAACAGGTAGAAAATAGCACTCCAAATTACAGAAATAATTAAGAAAGGAATATGTCCTGAAGTGGTTAACTTTCACTGTGTTCAGCAAAAAAAGGTGTGTTGGAATTTCTGCCTTTGTTCCTTTTGCTGTTTTCCTCAGGGCAGGAAAATCTAGTAAAACTGCCTTGTTTAAAATCAGGGAGTTCAAAGACAAATTGTCAGTTTTAATTTAACATAGTTTCTTTTGAGACATTTTATAGTCTGCTGATACAGTAGGCATCTGGTGTACAGCTAACAGGAAGATGCAGTGTTTTAAAAGACTCCAGAAAATATAATTTCAAACCAGAGAATCTCCAGTCAGATGTGCTATTGAGTACTTGGTGGGATTTTACATTAGTTTAAACAGGCATTATGGGGGGAAGGTTTTGAACAGTGTACAGCCCTGAGATTCAGACTAGAAACACACCAACGGTGGGAGACTGTCAGAGGGTAACAGAATGCTTCTGCTTGATTATCTTTAGCAGGGAGTACAAAGTGGCATTGGCCTTTACTTTCTGGAATGAGAAGGCTGCATGAGACTGGTAGGAAGTCCTATCTAACTGTAGCCACATCTGGGTGTGGTTTGATGAGGGTGCATTATAGGGAAAACTTGGTTGGTTTCTTTTCCTGTGCTGTAGTGTGCTCTTACTTCATTGAAAGTACTATTACTAGCATGAAAGTAAGACAAAAATCAGGTGTGTGAAGCTAAAGTGATGCAAATGTCATCTTTGCCCTCATGAGCTAATCTTTTCAGTGAGTGGAGGGTAGGTTAGTAGCTTCTTGACTACTTTTCAAGTTAGAAGATTGTTTTAGAAAGACATAATGTGTTAGTGGGGTCTTCAAAACTGCTTATTTTGCTCTGTGTGAATCAAATAGGGAAGCCCTTAAAGATGGATATTCAGCTCTTGGAGGTTAGTGCCTTGAGAGCTTCTGAGTATTATCCATAACTGCAGGTTCTTAGAGGTTTTTTTTCGGGGAGGGGGGTGTGTGGTAATTAAGCTGGTATTATAATTGAAGGAAATGTTTGTCTAACTATGCCTTTTAATGGCCCTGAGCTGCTGAGTCAGTTTATAGATGTAAAAAAACTAAAAACTGAATAACTAGTGCAAGTTTTGTGTAAAGCACTTGAGATGTAGGAGTGAAAATTCTGCAAAATAGCTTTTGCTTTTTTTGAAAGCGGAGTTTTATCAAGCATTTCAGGATAAAATATAGGATGGTTTTATTACAGTAAATGTGATTTTTTTTTTTTTACCAATTTACCTTTAACACTGAGAGCTACTTGTTTTCTGTTGGTGTGGTCTTGTGTTAATGTGTTGCTTTATTTAAAAACCAACAACAAATAAACCCCTGTGGGGTTTTCCTACTATGAAGTGTTTGAAATTTTTCAGAAGAGGTGTAAGAAATAAGTAACTGGTATACTGACTTCTGGTTTTATCTAGCTTAAATATCTGATCACTTATGAGTATTTCATCTCCAAGATGATATAAACCTCTGTTTTGATAATTAGTAAGCAGACAAATACACTTAATATTTTACATAACTAATATCTGAGAAATATCTTGTTGATGTAGAAGAGGCCACTGCTACCCTGTCAGTTTGTCACTGTGCATTAAATGCCTGTGACTTGCCACAAAGTAATCTCTTATGAATGAGAAAATATCATTTTCAGTAAATCACTTTTTCCATCAGAACTCTAATTTGAAACATAACTGATTACAGGCAGTTGGGCTTGATTAATAAATGAACATATTCCTTGATTGTAAGTTTAAGGTATGAAGCTATCATTGAGGTATAGCTCTGGGGAAGGCTTTTGTTCACTTCAGTAATATAGCTGCTGTCATAGCAAGAATAGAGAATATCTTCACCTACAGATGTAAACAGACATTAACATCAGGAAACCAACTTCACCACAATGTTGACAACACAAGGAGATCTTATCTGTAACTCATTTAAACCATAGCTGTATAGCTCGAATAAACTGCTAGCTAATGTGATACAGAAGTGCTTGAAGTATTTTTTTACCAGTCAGCTACTTTTACTAATGAGTGTGAAGCTGAATCTCTCTTCAGTTGTGCGCTCATGCAGTGATAAGCATGTTACATGCAACTCCTGTGGATAAGAGATCTGAAGAATTATTATGGGGACTGCTGTTGGCACTGAGTCTTGGATTTCTTTTTTTAATCCTTTGGAAATATGGAATCATCAGCTGTCAGCCTGATGCAGATTAGTGGCACAAACATCATGCTTCCTTGTTCAGTGGAGTAAGTTGGGAAATTTTAGTACCAGAATGAAGCAATATACTTCAGTTATTTTCTTATCTTTTTCTTAAATGGCTCGATCTTGAATTTTTTTTTCTTCAAAGGCTGGTCTGTTCTTTTCCGTATTTCTCTTAGAAGTGTTAATGTTTGGATCATATTGAAAAAGCCAGCAGGAACCACTTTTATCCTCTTGATTAATTTTGCCTTGCCTGTATTTGGTACTGTTACACTGTTCTTGGTTCAGGTTTAGTGTTTAGCAATGTTTTGAAGGTTGAAATAAAATCTGACTGCTTCAGTGCTTTGTGGTGAATATCTGGTGCTGATGTTCAGAGGTCTTCATTAGATGCCTTGGAACTTCAGATGTCATTATGATGGTCAGCACTTGATGGAGACAGTTTCCTGTGTTGTCTCCAGATTTTTATGGAATTCCTTGACCATCTTGATGAAAAATTTTGTGATGTAGTGTTCTGTCACTTTTTAAGGATTCTTGGAATACAGCAACTGCTAGTATGTTTGAAAGGGCTTCCATTTAAAAGGTAGATGCAGAAACTTGGTTGTTTGTTCAACAGAAGGGTTCTTAAAGAAATAATGCTGCTTCAAGTGTTTGCTTGTTTGAGTTCTACAGAAGTAGAGCTTGGCTTTGGGCAAGTGTTACAGATGGAGCAGAAACTTCATGTAGGAATAAAAGTGGTTGAGGACAAAGGACTAAGAAATAAGCTTGAGTGTTTGTTCTGGTCAGAATGGTCTGTGTAGTGTGGTTGTGGGGTTTTTTTTAAACTGGACTTGGAGGCATTTTCTGTTTCAGATTTGATTTGCCTTTTTACCAGATATGCCCCATTTTCATAGGACAGCATGAGCCTGCTCTATTTTTTGTAAGCCATTGTTTCTTTTCAGAGATGTTTCTGCCTGGTGTGCTCTTTCCTTATTTGAGCTAATATGGCTAGAATTCAATGATTTCTCAAGCAGATGTGGGTCAGTTTACCTTGAGTTTAATGACTTGTAAATAAGTTCTTTTGGTTTAAAAATGTATTATGTTTCCAGTCTACCACAGTTCAATTTTGCTGAACAACATAGCTTGCCTTTTTGGTAGCACATAAAGGGTACAGGGCATTAAATGCTATACCATTGTTGAGGTTCTTTTTCAAAGGCTTCAAAATAGCTTTCTGTGATATCAAAGCCATGGACAACAGACTACTGTGAAGCACATGTTCCTTGAAGATATTTCAGACACATGGCACTGTGTGAAAGTCTGTCCTAATGGGGAACTGCAGTAGTGAAGAAAACCTGTCCCAAAGGTCTTGAAAATGCTGTGGATGTCTAATGTCCTTCGCATGTTAGTGATGCTAATGTTGTGTTTTTCCTGCATGAAGCACGAGTAAAGTAGCTATATTTTAGTGTAATTATTTTATACCTTTTTTGGGAATTGCTGCATAATAGACATACATCTTCTATTTAATGTGATAGTTATGCGGTATTGTAATTTCACTGGTTATACAATGAAGTATTCTCTGCAACAAGAAGAGGGGCAGCTGACTACTTAAAGTCTGAAGTACATATGCTTTCTAAGTACTAAACATTAAGGAGGAGTGTTGAGGGGAAAAAAGGAACTTCTTTATCCAGGAGCACATTTTTTAAAGTTGCATTGATACAGCTCTTAAATTTGCTTCAGGCCACCGTAGGGCTGTTTGCTTTTGAGATTGTGTATGTTAAATACAGTTCAGTTAAATAATGGATTAAGTATTAATCATTACGGACACTAATTTTCTTTTGTTGTCTTTGAGTTTATGGTCAGAGCTTTCTCTTCTTAGCTACTGCTCTTACAATAACCTAAATCATGCAAGTTGGCTTAAGGCAAGCTTTCCATTACTTGGTGTATTTAAAATGCAGTCATTCTATATGTTTAATGAAGGTTGGTCATGTTTATAGTTGGAGTTAGTAGCACCACTTACTATGATTGCCCTGACTTCTCATTTGAAGGACCTGCTCTTTAGTTTCTTATAACTTTGTCAGACTTAATTATTTGACCAAAATTTTCTGTGTAAGTTGGTTTGTTTTAACTGTATAATCTGGAATGTTTAAAGAGTTTAACAAAGTTTAATCAAGAGCAAGGTGAAGGAAAAAGTCATACCTGACAGTTTTTTTTTAGAGAAGCAGTGTCTCCATACTTTCTAGTAGAATATAGAAATGAAAGCAGCATCCTTCTCCTGTTCCTTTGAATATAGATGATTAGAACATCTACTTGGTCAAGTTTTCTCCTTTTCATTAGAAGCTTCTGCTCGCTTCTACTACAGCTCTAGGGACAATCAGGCACTAGATGCTTGGCATTCTCCTGATCAGACTGAATAGTCTCTTTACCTCGATCAGACTGAGAATGAGTCACTTCTGCAGAGTGCTAAGCATCATTCAGTTGAGGACTGCAGGGCTAAAACTGAACAAGTAATGGTTGGCCTATTCTACAAACAAGTTGAGAGGCCATGGAGTTGTCCCTTCCTCACATCCTATATTTTCTTTGACTTAAGCCTGAACAACAGCAGTGAAGAAGGAATGTAACTCAAGTGTGGAAGGATTGTAGCAGGAAAAGGCAAAAACATATTAATAGGATTTGAGGCTAAAGAAAAAATGCAGAAACAAAACTGACAGTTGGGAGATAAAGATTGAGCACAGGCTGGGATGGGATCAAGATGGAAATTGAAGAACGGGAAGGGTGAGTGGAATAGTCTGGAAAGAAACTGGGAACATTAATTTGCTTGGGCAGAAATGGGAGGGTTGACCATATGACAGATGGCTCCAGAGAAGTTTTGGAACAAGAAACCAGAGAGGCTGTTAGCAGCCTGTGATTGAGAAAGCAGGGAAGGAAGCTGAATCAGGAGGTGAGTTGGCTGCAAACTTGCTAAGATGGAAGATCAAGTCAGAGGAAGAAATGGAGAAGCTGGGCTGCACTCAGCAGTCTGAAGTGGAGGCTGCAACTAGCTAGATGGAGCTGTGTGTGGGAAAACGGGTCTTGAGCTCTTGGTGACAGACGGCAGTTGTACCAGGTCTGCTGGTTACAGTTTAAGCCGTAACTTTGCATCAGTTCTGCCTTCGCAGTATATATTAATGCTGTATAGTATTGACTGATATTAGTCAATAAATAAACCACCATCAGCAGCAACATTCCACAGTACCTTTGTTTCATTTAGTGCAACACTTGGCATTCAGTTGTTTTCAGTGCTTATGCTTGCTTCAAAATGTGACACTTATTTCTCGTACCTTAGTGAAATCCTGTTGTGAGGCTAGAATTTACTTCTTTAGAGGTAGTACTTACATTAAATATTTTTGACTCGTCTTCAAACTACATGTGTTAGCAAAGAAACTCCCATCCCAGATTGAGAGTAAAGATACTCCTTCCTACACTCCCTGTGGGAAGATTGAGAATATGCAGTAATGTTTATTGGCTGTTTTGAAATGTTGAGAACTAGATTATTCTAATCTTTATTTTTTTCTGGTTATCTGGCTCCTTATGCTTAAAGTAGTTTTCACCAAATAGTGTTTAGGTTCTGTGTATGGATTGAACTCTTACAGAAGAAGCTATACAGGTGGTAAAACTTCCATTACCAAGCACAAAGAAGCTGAATTACCATAATTGTCTTATTTCTGACACTGTCATATTAATGAAAAAGCTTAGAATGATTTTATTGAGGGTGAACATATACAAATAATATATAATATATTCATAGTGGTGTCTGAACACTTTTCTGTAGCTTTTTCTTAAATTTTACAGGTTTTACCTGTAACCCCCTTGTTAGAGAAATAAAATAGGTTTTGGCAGTTGAGAACTTAATGCAGTGACGAGTAAAAATCTGTGATTGTAAAATGTTGTTTCGTTTGCTGTTTAAGAATATTACTACCTCTTCATTTCTGTAAATGGTTATTTCATCATTTTTCTTTTCACAGAATCTGAAGAAGATGCATCCCCGATGGCTGAGTCAAACAAGACAGATGATAAAGCACCAATTCCTAAGCAGATAAATGATAAGCTAGCTGAAGAAATTGAAAAAGAAGAAGCAGAAAATGTGTCAACAACTGAAGACTCTATTTCGGAGTCTATTTCAGCTGAACAAAGTGAAGAATGTTTAGTGAAAGCAGAATAAAGTACTTCAAGTGCCTTCTGTAGCTAGTTTTTAGCTTTGTTCATGCCTGTTGTTACTATTCAGGTGAGCTTTTTTTAATGGTACAACTTAAAAAATCTCGCTTGAGCTTAAACTGCCTCAACTGCCACAGTATGTCAAAGCTATGTGTAAAAGTGGGTATTGTAAGTTAAGCATGTCTTTAAATAAGTTAACACACAGAATGTATAGTTGGTTGAAGTCTAACAGTTGTAGTCATTGTTCAGTTTGCATATTTAAACTTAAATATAAGCTTTGCTAAGAGTGACCTATAATTTGACATCTCTTTAGCTGTCACCCATAAAGAACAATTACTGGCAGCAACTGACTTAGGAAGTTTGGTCTAGTGAACTTAAGACTTTTTAAATGCTTCCCTGTAAAAATTAATTGAGTACATTTAAAATATACAGATGTTTACAAGCTAAAGTGTCACCGGACATTTGACTTAAGCGTATGGAAGTGTCATTACAGCGGTGTTAATGTTATTAATTGTCTACCTTTTTGACAGAATTCAGTTAAATGACACTCGGATAAATGGCATCTCCTTTGGTATTTGCATTGCAGATGAACCAGAGGCATGTACATAGAAAACTGTTTTGTGTTTACATAAAATATAGAAAGTCTCTGCACTTGATTGTACTTGAATACAAAGCACTATTTATACCTGTACAATAATGACAAGATATAAGTGAATTTTGTGCCTTTGTGTATTTTGTTAAAGGAAAATAAAGATATCTAGCAGCAATACTTGCTTTGTGATTCTTGAAACCGAAGAGAATTTCTGTTCTGCTGTATGCGTCTATTCTACAGTTACTTTGTGGAAGTTCAGAAGGAATATGACACCTTAAAAGGAGCATGTCTATATGTAGCAGAGGTGGCTTTGACAGAATACAAAAAGATCCCTGATCAATAGGGAAAGTGCATGGGCATGGCCAAAAGACTTTCCTAACTGTGCCTAAAGCCTGTTGATGCTATTTATTGTTAAAATTACAATGAATATTTTCTGCTGGATTACTGAAACTGTACTTTACCCATTATATAGCTTTTAAAGCTAAAGGCGCTTGTTATACATTTACTGTTACGTTTAACAGTCGGTAACCTGGACTAGAATTTTTCATGTGCTTGTAAGTGAGGTACCTAAATCACTCAGGTTTTCCTTTTAGACATCATAAATACTGACCATGTGTAACTTGCTTTATTTAGTAGTAGTTCTGATAAAAGTTTTCTTGTGTGTGATGTTCTCTGTGTACTTCATTATATGGATGGTAGGAGAGACTTCACAAACATTTTTTTTTTAATCCATTGTCTTAGTCCCAAAGTGAACTGGTTTTACAGCAGAAGGCTAAATCTTAGTATCCATGTCTTTACCTGGGACATAACTGTGTGAACAGCAATGATTTATTTTCTTTTCCAAATGTATGCTTTATTTTCTGATTCTTTGGGGTTACTTTAGAAGCTCAACCCTTACATCAGTCAGAAGTTTGGTCTGTATTTAGATAAATGAGGAAATTTTTTTCTGGTTCACTAACTAAATTGTAATTCATATTTTAATTAGTAATATTAATAGAATGTGGGCATGTGATTAAAGGAGTACCTTTAGGTGTTTGGCTATATTTATATAAACAATTAACAAAACCAGGTAACCATCTTGTGCGTGACCATCTTAGTTGGGAATACAGAGAAAACAGTCCCTTTTCCAAACATGTCTTACGGGTTGAGAAAAGTAGAGGGTACAAAGCGATAGGGGAATGCATTCCTTAATATTTTAAGAGATTGTATTTTATATTCCAGAACTTCTTTAAAATGGAAATAATTTTGCCTGAAAGGTGACAAAGCTTACCGTTATTTTGTAAGGCTTTCCAGTGTTAATCTCTACATTGCATTTTATACCTCGCTAATTTCTTTGGAGAAAAAAAAATGCAGAATAGTTCAATAATTCAACACAGTAAGTTGCTGGATGCTTTTATATTATAAGCACTAAAAACAAGTAAAATTTGACATTATGATCCCTCCTGTGGGGCATGAATGCATGAATTACTGCTGCTTCAGAAGTTAAGATTACTCTAGGCTGATGTATTTCCTTTTAAATATTTGTATCTTAAATGTCAGGCTTTTTGTAGAGCAGTTTTAGGTCCTTCCCATAGCAAGTAACCACTGAGCTGTAATGCACATAGTATCTGTTGAATTGACTGACAAAACAATCTGTTAATATTGGAGCTATATATTAACATTTTTTTCATTAGCCTGGAAGATGTCTATTGTTATATGTCTTGCTTTTGTCAAGGAAACTGAGAGGTTGTTAGGCTTCTTAGGCTGTTGGGAATCAGATTTTTTTTTTTTTTTAAAGGGAGACACTATATATGGGGGGGGGGGCCGCGAAGGGAAAGTGTTATTTCTCCCAACATTCTCAAATGTGACATTAGCAACTGGCCACCGGAATGACTGATATTTTCTGTTTAATATGTCACTGAAGGATCAAGTAGAGATAGTCAACCTGATGTGAAAACAAATACATGTTAAAATGTGAAAAGAGAACAAGTGAGTTTTAAGGACAGGAGAGAATTTTCCTGAAAGACTTCCATACTAAAAAAAGTGTCCAAGCATTCATTCTCATTAATTGCTTCAGAAGGCTTGAAGAAGATGTTAAGGATGTCCTGGTATTTTGGTAGAGAAAGATCTATTTTTAACTTCCTGATTTTTCAGGGCTTTAAAGCAGCTATAGCAAATGAAGTTAGATGGTTAATTGATCTGTAAGTTATTTCAGGCTCAGGGAGATACATATGATAATAATAGACCCTGGACTTTCCTCAATTTACAGTAAGCATTCACGTGTTACTCCTGCCAAGTATGTGTGCCTCAGTCCTGACACAAATGTGAGAAGAGATTCTGTTTCTGCAGCTCTTGCTTCTTGGCTTCTGTCTGCTCCGAGTGTGGCAGTAGTAAAAGACACCTGTCTGACAGGAATTTGATCAAAATCCAAAAATACCTGTCAGTGAGCAACAGTAGGCACACTTAGTCGTGTCTTTGTAACATCGAAAGACTTGGAAGTAGGAGTATGTAGAGCAAAAAGGTACAACACTTATCAGTGACTTTTAATCCAGTTGCAGACTGACTCTCAAAAGATGAGGAGATGGAGGAAAGGTAGGGTGAAAAATATAACAAATGCTGTGGAAGCCTGGTCCTGTGAAAACATCAGTTTTTAGAGATGTTATACAGGCTTGCTTTCCTCTGTGGCCTGGATGAAATGCAAAATTGAGTGGGGTAGTAAAGCAATACTTGGCAAGCTTGTTGGTGCCATGTTTTTATTGCTTCTGAAATACTGTGAGTAATTGCAGAGATCTCATTTTTTTTTTTTTTCAAATGTTTATATATTTATAATTATCTGGGACATGTAAATTAGTGTTTTAGCTCAAAATAAATTGAAATGAGTCAGCTGGTCAAATTAAAGCTTTATTAAGAAGCCTGCAGAACAGGGAAATGAAGGAATGTTACTTGAAATTCTAATACTTATTCTAAAGCAGAACACGATTACCCTTGGATATTTTGACAGATATAGATAATTTAATGGTATCTTCATATAAAGACAGTTTATCTCAAAGCTGTTCAGTCTACATGCACGAAAAGCAGCAGCTCACAAGGAGAGGCAGACGAAGATAATGTGAAAGCTGACAATTTATGGACTGATCTAGAGGTTATCAAAAGCGTATAACTAGGGGTACGTATGATTGCTTTGAAGTCAAGAACAAGAAGGTTGAACCCTGTGTGGTGCATGAGTAGAAGCCAATGAAAGGATTTAAAGAAAATGACAGAGTGAAACAGATCGGGGGGGAGGGAGAGTGATTTTTTTTTCTGTAAGAGCGAGGTCTTAATCAAGAGATAAAGAAGATAAGAGCCTGAAAAGACTTCAGAAAATAGAGTAGGGTTTGGCTATTCCTACATGGCAGTATGTACCCCAGGTTAGTACCATGTTCTTATGTCAGAATAATAAGGACACCATTGATAATGAATCATATCGAAGATACTTGTTTGCTTTTTAGAATTATTTCTAGATTAAGTGGATGACAATAACTGGTAGAATTAAGACTGTTTAGCTGTTGCTATGGATGATGGTAGCAAAGTTGCTCTTACTCTTTTTATTTAAACATAAAAATTTAGAAATTATTTTCTGCTTCTAGGATTAATTAAACTGTAGCAGTAATTAATTTTTATAACTTTATTAACCTTCAAGTGCTAGGAGAAACACTGCTCTGGTGCATGGTTCTGAACTTGGCAATTTTTGTGCCGTTGTGGATCTGTGGTGATGGGCAAGTGAGTAGGCTAGAGGAAACTTCATTATTCAGTAGTGAAGTTTGCTTTTAAAAACTTCAATAGTCTTAATCTCCATAGAGTCTGAACACATTCAGTAAAAGAGTACTGGATGTAAATAAAGTTCTAAATAAGCTGCTCTTGGAGTGAGGTTTTGTTAGGTCTTCAACAATGAGGAAGACTGTCCATGGGTAAGGAATGGCCTCTCTGTGAATGTGTCAATAGAACAACAACCCTAAAGACTCATTTTGCATCTTTGTTGGCAAGTAATCATTTGACCAGCTCACTGAGTGTTCTCAAGCAAAATCTTTAGGCTCTCATTTCCTTACATGTCTTAGAGATTGTTCTTTGCCCAGTATCTCTAAGGTGTTCTTTCCTGTCTGGTCATGTGGTTAAAAGTTAGTAACTCTGATCTCAGCGTTTCATGTTTTGATTACTTTCTTGAATTGATAAATGCAAACCTGTCCAGATTTCTGGTGTAGTTCAGCCTCTGAAGTTTCACATGTGTGTTTCTAAGTGTACAGGAGTCTACAGAAGACACATCCCTAGTGCAAACTAATTTTAAAAAAACACAAATACATCAAGTGTGTAAACACTAGGTGGAAAGTAAGTTTTCCATTAGTAAACTCAGACTGGAAGTTGGAAAGTTCTTAATAATTTGGACAAATAGCCTTGCAGGAGGCTTTAGGTTTAAAATGGGGTTTGAGAATGAAAGGGCAATAGGAGATCACTCTGACCAATGGATTCTTTCTGGTAGTGTGCATCTTTCCTGTTTTCAATTAATGTATTAAATGACAGGTTCTATATGATAGTTCATGGAAGATAACTTTTGGCTATTGTTAGAAAGTTTTGATTCACTGAAAGAAGAGTTTGTCAAACTGCTGATTACTTATCTGTGGCAATGCTTCTCTCTTCCAGCCTGCGGTCCTTAGGCAGAGTTTTCAGGTCTCAAGTTTGTGGAGGATGACGAAGGTGAGGAATTGCAACTGACTCATCTAATAATAATGTTCCA